CACAACTACAAAAACAAATCTTGAAATATACCACCACTACACAACTACAAAAACAAATCTTGAAATACACCACCACTACCTAAACTTAGAAACATAAATTCTGAAATACAGCACCCCTACCTAAACTTAGTAAAACAAATCTTGAAATATACCACCACTACACAGCTACAAAAACAAATCTTGAAATATACCACCACTACACAACTACAAAAACAAATCTTGAAATACACCACCACTACCTAAACTTAGAAACATAAATTCTGAAATATACCACCCCTACCTAAACTTAGTAAAACAAATCTTGAAATATACCACCACTACACAACTACAAAAACAAATCTTGAAATATACCACCACTACACAACTACAAAAACAAATCTTGAAATACACCACCACTACCCAACTTAGAAATAAAAATCTTAACTTTCACCACTGCCAGTACTTTGATACACATGTATAAATCTTGACTTAGGCCGCTTAATACACATCTTGACTTTCACTACAGCACCCGAATTATAGTTATACACATATTGGCTTACACTACCCTAACTTAGAAATAAAAATCATTTTGACTTAACTTAAGAAGGTTAATTCAAAATATCGAGACATTATTGTAAAATTACATTTTTTTCATGGGGAAAAAATTTTAATGGCTTGAGGAAAAAATATTGGTTTAAAGGCATTTGATTCCGTGGTTGAAGTCGTGGGCCTCTTCACAAAAACAACGAAAAATAAGCCCCCTCGATGATTTTATAGTACAAAGCAAAGATCACAGCAATAACTTATCAATTTTTACGACAAGTATTCAATTAAGTATCAATGGCAATGAATTTATATGTAACGACATGCACACATTTTCTAAGGAAAAGTTGACGATTTTAAACAAAATATATTGCATTATTATACCTCTGTGATTTTTTTTATCTATACAAAAATATGATGAATAAACATGCTATTATTTCAAAACAACTCCTGTCGTGGAATAGTTTTTGTGCTGTTTGCCCTTGATGAAATAGATCACCGACTCCACTCCATTTCCCTCGCGTTTCATCTCGGATTATCCGGATCGTGACGTGAACGAGTGGAATATTCTGCGGTACGATAAAATACCTATTCTTTGGCCTTGGGAAATAGTTGCTGTCTTGGGGGACAATAAATTATTAATGTGTATCTGTTAATTTATTTGTTCTTTTTTTTTTTAATTTTGTTACATTACAAACGCTGAAACGTTGGCATCATTGCTAAGGTTTATGAACAGAAATTTTAAATTGTCCGTCCTGAATACATAAATACTGAATTGTATTTCTTACATATACGTACAGGTATGTTTTTTCTCTGAGCGGTAGTAAATTTTTTTAAGAAGATTTTATTACTTGCATTTAGAGAAATCTTACGATTGATTCCCGATACATTGGTTTGCACATGCGATCAAAGGCATTCAATGGCATCCTATCCGCTTTCAAATCGGAGTTTTAAGCAATTGATGAAATCAAGCACGCTCAAAAGGAAAACATTATAGATAGGATTTTTGTCACAGTGCACGTGCTTCCATTACATAAAATCTTCGATACTACTGTACTTTCTCTGAATTATCAGCGTATTTGGCAAAAAAAGCCATTCAAAGGAATACGATATAAATTATGATGTCTATGAACATTGGTGAGTTATGTTTATACAGGGAAAAAAGTATCATTCTGATCAGTATCAAAATGGTATTTATTTCACTTATTAAAACAGCAGTTTAACTATATGCTGAAAATTATTTGAGAGTGATCTCCCGTATATGAATTTGAATGCATTAATTGTTAGGTCTGGAGATATATTAATTGAAAAGACAGTGAACCCTCAGAATCTTGTGTTTTTTCCGAAAAGGAGAGGGGTGATGTCATTTAGGATAGTTTTTGGCAGAAATAAGGTTCTATCCAAAATATCGATAGTTTAACTTTAAAAAAGGTTAAATTTTTCCTACTTGAAAAAGGCTCATTGTGTAATGTGAAATATAATCCTTTCAGAATGATCTTTTATTACATTTTCTTTACATCAAATGATTCTGAGAGGCTTCTGTTGACTGTTGACTGTACATTGAATTCCATTTGCAATCTTAAGTATTTCTTTATTTCTTCCCTGTGATTTCCTGTGGAGTTATTACCATTTTTCTTCCTAGTGACTGACTACATGTATTTCGCAAAAAAAACTCAATGGATTTCAAAAAATTATTCTTTTAATGTAACAAACATTCCAATTACGTTCTCAAGAAAGTTTTGCGCTCGGTAAAGTTAAATTAGATATACGATGATTTATCCACCTTTGAATTACAGCAAAGTGGCATATATTTCTTAAGTAAACCCACAATGGAAAATCTGGTCTAAGATATTCTGTTTGATGATTATTTTTTTATCAACTGAATATGTATGATTTGGACCCCCAAGATATACACGTTTGCTAATATAAGCTTTGTTTGTGTGTGTGCAAATAATCTTAAAGGTCATAATATTTTGCATCTTTAAACTGCAAAATGTCAAAGAATCATTCCTTAGCAAACACATACGTACTTTAACAAAACTGATGTTAATATCGTTTAATTTTCCTCGTCACGATTTGCAATGACTTATAATTATATAGCTCTTTAGATAACTGCATATTAAAAACTTATTTCTATAGCGTATATTTCTAATAAGAAACACAGTATACTTTTCAAAAAGTGAGATATACAGGTCCTCTATCAGTGAAAACTTTGTGTAAGTCACTCCATCTGAAAGTATCATTGATACTTACCTTTCCAATGTATACTCAATGTATGTGTGTTAATCAGCAACTAATTATGAAACATGTTTAAATTTCATTGTTTCATTACATGAATCTGCATCATTTTTTGTTCACACTACTTTTGAAATATTACAATTACTATCAATATTATTAATGTATCCTGTATCGCTGCATTATGAATAAGTTCTTTCATGGTGTGTGGTTTGATATAATTATTTATCCAACAAGTTGTGTGCTTTTATAACCAAGCGCCTTGGCAAGGGGATAAAACCACAACGAGTTGGATAAAAAATCATATACAACTGCAAACCTTTGTCACACGTTTTACACATAGCTTTCTCGTGTTTTATATGTGTAAATCCACAATATTGGACTTGATCAAATTCACTCAAAATCCATCGTGATGTCACAATCGTGGATATAAAAAAAAGATATCCTATGAGTTATATTCACTGCATAAAGGGGTTTACCATGTGATAAATCATTCTATGTACAAGTGTACATGTAGTTTTGTTCATACTGACACAAAATAATCAGACCGTGATGCAACTTACCCTTCTCTGAACACAGGATGTCACATGGTTGCCACAAAAAATCCTATCCTCCTCTAAAGAGATGGTATCACTTGGGTGACATAATTATTCACAAACTGGTGCTCCCTACCCTTCTCTGGACACTCAGTGTCACACATGTGCTTCAAATAAAACCTGGTGCTTCCTACTCGTCTCTGAACGCACAGTGTCATCAAGATGATATGGGTGCCACAAATAATCACACAAACTGGTGCTACCTTCCCTTTTCTAAACACATAGTGTCACATGGGTGCCACAAATAATTGCAAACTGATGATGTACTTATCTTTCTCTGAAGAGAGAATAATATCATTGCTGCTACCTACCTTTTACTGAACACATTATGGAAGCCATTAATAATCACAAAATGGTGCTACCTACCATTACCTCAACAGTTTATCATGGGTACTATGTTGTTATCTACCTTTCTCTAAAACGAAAGACATGTTTACAAGAAAGAGTCACAAAATTATTCTACCTATCCTTCTCTTAAAATACAATGTCACTAAGGTGCCACAGATAATCACATACTGGTCCTACATACCTTTTCCTCAAAAGAATCACATGTTTGCCATAAATTATCACAAATTTGTGATACCTATCTTTCTCTAAAGAGATAGTACCACATGTTTATTACAAATAATTATAAACTGGTGATATACCTATCTTTTTCTGAAGAGGTAATGTTACTTTCGTTGGTTCTACTTTTCCTGAATACATACTCAGTATCTGTCACATGGGTGCTATATAGTATCACAAATAATTGCTATCTACCTTTCCCTCAATTGGATAACATAGGTACCTTATAAGTGACAAATTCTTGATATCTACTCGTAGGCATAGTCTCATATGGTTACCACAAATAATAACAAAATGTTGATACCTATCTCTCTCTCTTCAACAGTTTCATATAAGCGCTACAAATAATCACAAATTAGTACCACCTCCCTTCCTTAAATAGATAGTATCACATGGTTGCCACAGATAATCACAAACTTGTGAGATACTTATCTTTCTCTGAAAGGAAAGAGAGTCAACTGGGTTCCACAAATATCATGTAAATGTACCTTTTTTCTGAACAGAATCATACGGTTGCAAAAAATAATTAAAAATTGGTGCTACCTCCTTCCTCTGAAGAGATAGGATCATTTGAGTGCCACAAATTATCAAATACAAATGCTACCTACTTTTCTTTTAATATATAGTGTCACTTGGGTGCCACATATATAAATAAAAAACTGGTGCTATCTACCTTTCTCTCAACAGTGTCACATGGGTGCCATAAATAGTTACAAAGTGTTGCCACCAATCATTAACTGAACACACTGTGACACATGGGCACCACATATAATCATTTATTTGTTCAACCTACCCATCTCGTTTAAAAAAAAAACTAGCTACAGAACTCTAACTCTAGCTAACGCATATAAACAAAAAATAATACGTGAATCGAGAGAAAAAAAAGCACTTAGACCTGTATCACTCTGGTTTGTCTGTCCGAATTTTTCAACCAAAGATATACAATTCTGCGGGTATTAAAATACAATATCACAAGGGTTCCACAAATAATCACATTGTCACATTGTTGCCATAAATTATCATTAACTACTGCTACCCTTCTTCGAATAGTATCACTGTTTGACACAAATTGGCGGTACTTACCCCTCTCTTAACAAACGGTGCCACGTGTGCGCCACAAATGATCACCCCCGTAAGACAATTCCAATCAAAGGTAACAGCATTTGGCGGAAGCTCAGACATTGGACTGTCAACAAATACAAAATTTCACAGGTATTTATATGTCATATCATACTTGACAAATCGTGTGCAAAAATACTCAGCATCATTAACTTTACAGTATACAAATATCTTAAGCATTGCTCAAAACAAATGGTTATTCGATAAAAAAGTAAGCTTCGTGACAAAAGTATATGCCCAGTCTTTCATATATCGTAAAAAATTTGTCTTTACAAGTACATTACATATAAGTCTAAGACTTTATAAAGAGCTTTTTTACTTAGTTTCCATGGTGTCAAACAGCACTTGCAGATAGTATACTGCTATATTTCACGAGAAAAACCAAACAAGTCACCTTGAATTTCAAGACACATAACAAACATGAAGTAAGATTCATGTACATACAAAATAGGGTAAGAATGTATCTGAAAATGAAATTATCCATTTCGCATTGTCTAAAAACATTTTTAAAGAAAAAAATGTAATCAGTACTGCATAAACATCGCATTTTTAAAAATGCTACAGTTTTTTTTTTACACAAAAATAGGGCATTAAGGAAACTGAATCATTTCACCTGTTGCTTTTGTTCATTGTGTGAAAGTAAAGACTTATTAAGTAAACGGCGAATATATAATATTATAATGTTAAGTCATTCATTGGTGTAAACAGGTTGCTTGTTAACACATAAAATCTGTTAGTACGTTAATATGCAACAGCACTTCAACGTCAAAAAAATGCTCGGGTTGCAATTTTTAGGATTGAACAGTAGATAATCAGATTTCTTAATCAAATTCAAGTGCTATGCACGTTTCCTACGCACTTCACGTCTCAGTTTTCCGTCAACACGCCAAGAGCACCAAAAAGAACATTTGACATACTTCCTGTTAAATAACGTTCCTTCATTAAGAGTAGTTTTTCTGAATTAATAAATTGTGAGAACAATGGTTAGAATGAAGCACTCTGTGTGAATTGATCGTCTGCTTGACGAAACTAGAGATTTTTGGTGGATACACACACTTAACGCGCGGAAATAGTAAATCAATACAATTCACATTTTCGTAAGTGTACAAAGGGCTACATCAGAGAGAGAGAGAGAGAGAGAGAGAGAGAGAGAGAGAGAGAGAGATTTAAAAAAAATTCAAAACTCGAGAATTTCAGCAAATAGGTCTTTCAGTAAATCATTTTCAAAATGACAACTTACCTCGTCCATCCTAATGTCGGGTGTTAAAATTTGAACAATACACCTTTTTTTTAAAAAAAAAATATATATATATTTAATCTGAAAGGAAGCGTTTAACAAATTGTTTCCTTTTTTCTTGATATCGTCAACACGCTCTCTCACTCTCTTCGTTTCCGTCTCTTATCAACACACACAGGTTTTATATAAAAACAAAAATACACGCACAAGTGTTAATTATTCTAACGGTGTTTTTAAAATTAACACTACTTTGTAAATTACCGAGACTATTTGAACTTTTCAACAATGAGTATGCATATTATATATCTTTTTTTCTATCATTCTACATGATTATTATTATTAACATAGACTCTGTCCAGATCGATTTCGCTTCCTTTTGTGGTTGCACGTGTTCCGACTAGGGAAGTTCCTTCTAATCGATTTCATTACATAAACTGTAACTCATCAGATGTTAATATCCCAAGTATAATAAATAATGAAGTAAATGTATCAAAGTATGTACATTAGCTATTCTGATGAATGCTTAGTCTGAATTCTTAACTATATTCCAATCTACGTTTATTATTAAAATACGCTTTTTGAAGTTTGTGCGCTCTTGAAAAATGAAAATACAAGTAACAGCATAGGCGTCGGAAGCAAATTGAAAGGGGGGGGGGCTAATTGAAAGTGGGTGGTGGGGGCTAAACCAACGAAAGAAGGTAAGCCCCAATTTTCAATGCCTATATTAAATGTCTATCTTAGCAAAAAAAAAGGGGGTGGGGCTACCCCCCCCCCCGGGTTCCGACGCCTATGAACAGTATCTTTTGCATGCAACACACTAGAAATTTGGGCTTTGAAAACAAACAGGAAATCGATCAGAATTCTGGACATTTAATATTCTTCATTGTAGACTTTTTAAAATAATTTTTCTACAAGTCAAAAGATATAATCATTGCGACCTGAGATGGCAAATGCTTATTTAATTTTTTTTTTCATTTTTGCTATTTCTTGCTAACAATAACTTTGATTTTTATCGGTTTATAAATTACATCTATTTCCTTTGTTTATGTTTACTTTGCTTAACAAAACCCGTGTCCCTAGAAGAGAAGATACTAATTCGTAAACCTTAAGAATGAGTGAAAATAACATACTTGATATAAATATACCTTTTAACTTTGGGAAGTCCAAAAATAATCCAACAATGTTACTGGTACTTAAGAAAACATTCGATCAAACCATATTCCCACAAGGCATAGACGAGACTTTGAATGACGCGTGATAATAAGAGATTTCCTTCCTGCTGATTCTAATCATTTACCATTTAGGGAGATTTTTTTTCCTTTTATAGTCATTTGAATGATTTATTCAGGCTAATATATATACATGTATAGAGAGAGAGAGAGAGAGAGAGAGAGAGAGAGAGAGAGAGAGAGAGAGGATACTCAATGTTTTGTAGTTGAATGTAGAATTTATTTCACGAGTGGGACAGGATTTGTTGATATTTTCACGAGTGCGAAGTAGGATTAGAAATATCAAAAAATCCTGTCTCACAGTGAGACGGTTTAGTTCACTCGTGAGACAGGATTTTTTGATATTTTCATTCGTGTTTTGCACTCATGAAAATATTTTAAAAATCCATATCCAACTACAAAACATTGAATATCCTCTATATATGCGATGACTGTTCGGAAATTATTATTGAGACTTTTACTTTTACTCCATAAAGGAAAGAGATAAATTCATAAAAAAAGTCAACATTTTATCGAGAATAAATAAAAAATATGTGTAAAATTTCTAATTAATAGAACAATTAGATAAGGCCCGGTTAAATTATAAACTTGCATATGTGAATTGACCTGGAGCATTTAAACGTCATGCAAACCGTAGATATTTTCTCATGTTGAAACGATCGGGAAGCGTTAACTCTTCTTTCTCTGCAGGCGCGTATCTAGGTCCGGGGGGGGGGGGGGGGTAGGTTCCACCCCAGTCCAAAAAAAAAATTCCAACCCAGAAATTTCTTGACGAGCAAAAAAAAAAAATAATAATAATAATAATAAAAAAACAAAATAAAATAAATAAAAAAATAACCAAAAAAAAAAAAACCTTCCCAAAAGTATTAATTCCTTGACAAGCAAATTTCTTGACAAGCAAAAAAAAAGACCTATTTCGTGGTGGTGATGGTGAATGGTGAGGTCCACGTATTCTGGGGGGGGGGGGGAGTCATTTTTTATTTGCTTCAGTTTATACTATTAATAACTCTGCAAATTCCTTTAAAAAGAAAATAAAATGTCTGTTGTTGTTGTTACCCCATTGTAAAAAATTACATGAAGTGTCCTATAAAGGTTGACTTAGCATCGCGCAGTACAGATTTTTGCACCGTGGATCAGCGTTATTTAATCCGTAATAAATGATGGTCGTCCGGAGCCTTTGTTTTACGCTGGTTGAATTATTTGTAAGAAAAAATATACAAATGGAAAAAATCCTTAGACAAGTTTTTTTTTTTTTTTTTTTTTTTTTTTTTTTTGCATTCTTATTGTTTTAGTAGGTCGTTTAGTCTTGACAAGAGTTCTCTACAGCACTACACAAAATTTTAGGCATGTTCGCTGCGCCGCCTTGACGTCAAAATTCATTTTGTTGTCGTAATCAGATTTCTATACCGTGCTTAAACTTTTTTATGGTCTTCGTATTTCTGATCGAAATTCTATCAAACTTGCACAAAATGAAGTCAAAATAAAATTGAAAAATTATGCATATAGTTTGAATTACTACTCTTTTTATTACTATATTTTCTTACTATGGGTCCACCGATAGTTTGAACGTACATGTAGGTTTTACATATTCTCAATATCTGATTTCGTGACTGAGCCGGGTACCCGTACCATTGACACATTAATATACCATTGAAAAGAAGAAATAAAGTATTTGTAAAATATGTCTTGCTTTTATTAATTCTTAGTGTTTATCAAACGTATGTGCCAATTATCACCAAAAGGCGTTCATTAGAAAGAAGTCTTGATATTTCCTAACAGCCCTCGTATATTCTTTGTTAAGTACGCTTCAAATTGTCATACTTGTATTAATATTAAAATCATTATGAAATTTCCTTCTCTTGTCATGAATGTTTTGTTTGCTCTAAAGCAATGAGTCATTTACTTTTTCAGCAGGAAGTGGGCGCTAAATCTAGTGACCACTCTCGTATTCGAATAACGTTGCCTGTGTGTGTTCAATTTTACCATTACACAATTATTTAACACATTTTACACTAATATTAACATACAAATTTAAGAAAAGAACAGACCTAAAAGATTTACAATTATATCAACATACAAATTTTAAAAAAAAAAACAGACCTGATCTTAAAATTCTTTTATACATGAATTTCTTTAAAAATAGAATAAAGATTAACTTGCCTTTGCTTAAACCTCCAATAACGCTTGGGATGAAGAGAGTAAATTTTGTCCATTTTTACGTATTTTAAGTTTCTGTTTGAATATAATCCCGTCTTTTTCAGAGTTTTAAGAATGATTTGTATTACAGAACAAACAAGTGCGTGCAAAACTGCAGGAAAACGATTGTGTATCATCAAAATCCTTGGTGAAAATATCTCTATGATAACAATTGCACGTTTGATTTTTTTGGGTTAAAATTTGCATGTAAATAAACAATATTTCACGCTATAGTCTTTATTTACCACTCCTTTCATTAAAAATCTAGGTTCATTGAGGGCCTTTTTGGTCATGAATGTCTGAAAAATCAGAACTGCTCAATTTTATTTGCTTTAAATATTACTAATCTCTTGGACACCGCTGCATATCTGTTAAATTGACGTGATGTTCTCGCTTTTCGATGCATTTTTACTTCACGACTTGTGTCATTACTAGTTTTCGCATATCCGGAAAATTTCCTTGAAATGGCCACTATTTAATGCTGTTTTTCAATGTTTTGTATAAAGCCCAACCTCTGATCCAAAATATATACATGTAATAATTGTTATATATAATGATAGAACTGTTACTCAACATTATAAAACATGGGTTTATTTTTTAATCGAGGAGTGTGTTTATATTTTAATTCTTTGCTGAAGACATTCAAATACACCTATTTTCTGCAAAATTAAAGAATATTGCAATTTCACAAAGCCTGTTTTCCAATTATCTGGATTTCCAAAAGAAAACCTTATATAGGAAGTGAAAGCATTAAGTCTCTATAATGATGTTTGAAATGAGACATAGAGCGCCAGTCTATTAATTGTTATATGGACGGGACCATCTTATTCACAAAGTGAACATAGCTCCATTATCATTCATTAACATGTTTCTTATGAAAAATATGTAATTTCTTCCTGATAATATTAATGTCTGCAACCAGTCAACACCAATGTTGCTCTACAAATACTGAAGCGTCCAATCGCTTTCTTGATTTGTTTATTGATAACGGCTGAACATCAACATGAAACGTATAGACTCCTGACGAAAATCCCTCCACACAGGTACTCGATCCGATAAAAGGTAGAATTTTGCAAGTTTGTATATTATTTTGCTACTAAATATCTTTCAGACTTCTTAATCTCCCTTTTCCCAGAAATCACTCCATGATTGTTTGCTGTACCTCAAGAGCACCATAAGATATGTCAGATCTACTAGTCAGATCCATAGTAAATGAATTCCTCATTTTGTCATTAACCCTGAATGGTGTTTTTTTCCTCTTCATTCATTAAATTTTAAATTTACCCCCCTCCTCCCCACACACACTCCTTGTTCTATTCTCAAAAGTCAATTAATGATTAAAAAAAGGGGGATGAGTACATGTTTATTATCATTTATCTATGAATTCATTAAAATGTATATTTTTCCTCATTTTCAGTTCAATTGACCTTAAGTCGGATATTTTTCTGGGAACAGTCCTGTCAGGATTTAAGAAACTTAAACATATCTATAAAACATCTTGGCGTTATCCTTTATACGATGTTTTGTCCGAAGTCTCGAATATCATCAACATGAAAAAAAACAACACATTTTATATTTTAGTCATGGTTTTTTGTTTGATTTTTAACAATTTTATTCATAAAGAAATGATGATCGTGGTGAGTTTTGGATGAGAACACAGAGGTTCTACGAGTATTGCAAAAGAGATGGGTGAACAAGGCGTGCAAAATGCCTATACGTTTAAAAGTATAAAAGTCATAATCAATTTGTAAATTTAGCATTTAAGGTCAGACGATACGTTCCTCAAATATCTGTTATGTATATCTTCGTAACGTATGAAAAATATTCAAAATTTTAATTACATTCTGATTTCTAAACCAGTTTCTAATTGTCCTTTAAAAATCCAAACACTAACAAATTTGATATCTGCAAATTAATTTTTTTCCAAATGGATTATATAAGAAAAACTACCCTCTGGTATCTTGCACAAATGCCTGGTAAGGTACCTCAATTTTTTGTGAATAAACATGTTAAAGTAGCAATAATTCACTGACAAAATCTTGAAAAAAATTATATATTATTGAGGAACATATCGTTTGTCCTTAAAGTTCTTATCCTAGAAAGGTATGAAATTATGACAAACAAAACTTTTCCGTGTGAAATTCTCTCGGCAAAAATCATGCTCATGAATCAAAACAGTGATATTCTTGGGGTTTGAATCTAAACAAAAAATATTAATATTTTTTTCATCGAGACTAACACGACCACTACTCTATTCCGCTTAAAACAAATATCGGCATTTAAATAATGTTCATGATGTGACCTTTGACTAAATGGACTTCAAATATTTCTCGGAAAGATACTGTCGTGTCGCCCTTTTGAGTGACCGCACTTATTTTGGGAATTTGTCTAGCTCGCTCGCTTGTGAGAGACCCTTAGTTATAATGATTCTGCTTTTCGGCCACCAGGTCCAGATTAGGTTTGGGTGCACTGTAATAAGGAAAAGCAAAGCGTGGATCAAATTAAAAACAATGTTACTTAAAATAGTCATGTTGCAGATTTTATTTGACGAAATGAAATATGTCAGAAAGGACAATACTAAAGTTGTGTCATAAAAGTGTATTTTAAGTATATCGGGTCATTGCTCCATGTTTTTTAATCGAAGAATGTATATATCACGCATACTTTTAGTATAACCTTTCAAAAAATGGACTGAAGCTCCATTCATATGGAAAGAATGTGTTTTAGTATGAAGAATTGGTCATTTTTGTCCTCTTTGGTGTATGTATGAAAAATCATAGTCGAATAATTTCAATCTTTCTGAGGATGTTACGATTTGTGGATATTTTACATAAAGTATACGTTAATGTTAAATGAAATATCAAAGAAAAAGTGTGTCATTATTGAAATTTAATTTTTCAATTTCTTTTTCGTGGCACAATAGGCATTTTGCTCGCCTCATTCACTCATCTTTTGACGGTACATGTATATTCTACCCGGTAAATATCCTTGTCCATGATTTGTGTTCCCTGCGTTGCTTCTGATTGCTTGATTTTTCGTGTATCACAGTGTAAAGGACATCATTGTAACTTGAGAAGATTGGATTCTATCAATAATAATCGGATAGTCTTAGTGGGAAGCTTGTACTTGATTTAATCCTCCTCCGACTGAGATTTTATAGAGGTAACTTTTCAACACACTGGCCAATAGCAAATCAAAGGCACGGAATTTTTTATGCAAGGTTTTTTCAGGTAAAAGAAGGCATTAGAATGATGCAGAATCCGTATCGAGTACCGACGTTAGGGTCCAAAAATACACGTATAGGCCTAAATATGTCTCTAGTGATTTTTTCCATAAATAATTTATTTTCACTAAAAACTAAACAATACCAAAAAATTCAAATCATTCAAAAATATTTTGGTATGATAAAAACATAATCGAGTACTTCGGCATCTATTACGAAGGCATGGTATAAAAATTTTGACGACAAAAAATTTCAAGAGATCTATGTATGAGATTCAAATGATGCCTTGAAATGTTCACATTCTAAGAAATAGACATATGATTTTTTTTCCCAATTAACTATGAACTATATGGAAAATTATTTGTCATAAATCTGCAGACACTCTATCAACCATAATTTTATACAAGCGGAAAATATTTTAAGTTAATGCCTTGCTCATTGGTTATTAGTTAAGAGCTTGGAATAAGACGATATAATGCCAAGATAATGTAATTTTGTGTCACAGCTGAATTCTGTATGGCCAACTCCTCAATAGAAAGAGTATGCGAGTACTTTTGTGGAACTAGGAAACAGTGTTTTTCATATCAAAAAAGTGGTTACTTGCTATATATTATGTAATTTATTTAGGAACATGTTACTTGACATTGAGAAAATATGATTCGGTTTCAAAATCTGAATATGACAAGTTACTTATATTGTAAATGTCTTTTTTTTTTCTATACTTTCAAATTACTCTTTGGATTCTTTTACGTTAGTAGAACATACAGTCGTCTAGAGTAAGTACGTCTCGAAGTGAGCCCACAAATTTTATTTACACGCCATCTGTTACAGGGGTTTTTATGCTTTGCCAATTATAACCAAAGTACAGAGAAAATGTAGTGCGTGCTTCTTTATTTATCAGTAGAATCAGGACATAGCAAACGACTTCCTTGTACAAAAGTACACGACAAACATTTAAAGGCTAGAGGAAGAGTTAAGTGTTGATTACGAGCAACATAATGATTTTTAAATGTCCATTGTAAGAGATTGTAACAGGAAGCTGATTAATATCAAGATTTGAAAGCCTTGCAAAAAATCTATGGCGAGGGGCGAGGACAAAAGATTTTAAGGATAATTAAAGATAATAAGGAAGTAGTGTTTATTATTCTTTTTTATTTTGATTTCAAGTATCTTGTTAATCAATATCTGCTTTTTACACAGATTTTTAGTCAAATCTTATCTGTGAAGTAATGATTTTATTTATAAGCTGTTGATCTTGGATCCGCCTCTCCTCTAGATCAGATTAAGATATATTATTTAAACACTGTTGATCTTGGATCCGCCCCTCCTCTCGATCAGATTAAGATATTAAGCTTGCCCGTTAACGATTGAGAAGTGGTTAATCGTAATTAAAATGCTAACAGCAGCAGCTGTACCAGTTTATGAAGGGCGGTAGAGTCGAGGGGATCGATCGGGCGTCTTAATGTAAATAAACATTTCATTTCATCCAAAAGGTTTTACGACAAAAATGTCACCAGATATAATTTTCAAAGAATAAGAGATACAGAAAACAAGAGTTACTACACACACATTACTACTGGCATCGAATACAAGCAAATCTGCGAGACGTATGATATTCAGTAGCTCAATACATATTTGTCTTGTAATTTGACATTCTCCACGAAGTGTTAATCTAAAGTTTTTAAAGAAAAAAAAAGAATAACAACGACATGGTATTATAAATGCAGACATAAAATAATCGAAAGACCAATTAAATCAGTCTTCGAAGAATGAGAATGAAAAGAGATCGACGAGTAATTCAAGAGATAAAATATATATATAAATGAGATAAATTGATGACATATTCATTGAACGTATCTGAAATTAATCTTTCACTAGAGAGTATGGATCAACGTTAATTAATAACTTAAAGTCAATCAATTACTCTTATTCAAGCATTCTCCATAAAAGCAAATTGAATCTTGGATCTTTAAGCAAGTGACCTACAGATGCGATTGATTACTTAAAATCAATAACATTATCACACTTAACAAATTATGCACGCATGCTGAACAGCTGATGCTATTTTCAAGCCAGATTTCTAATTTCCATGCGTTACGCTAGATAATTTTTGCTGAGTATGGATAAAAACTTACCATTAAAACTAGCCGATGAAATCACTTTCCTTCGTATAAGCATCAGTAGATAATAAATATCCCAAAATGATAATTAAGAATATTATCTAAAAACCCATGGCGAGTTGCCGTTTCCGCGTTTCCATTCAAGGCAAATCGAAGCCGATTTGGCGATGAAGCAGGTCAATAGACATTATACATAGGTTTTAGTGTTAGGTTGAAATCAGCAAAATGGAAGAAAAAAACTTGCAACATTGGCTTCTTGTTCTTCAAAACAGCATCAACACATTCATGCATAAATCACCCTCGAATTGAAAACGAGGCTCTGATCGTCTGCAGCTTCTGTTCTGCGTACAGAGAGAATGTGACAAACGCATACACACGACAATCAATATATTAGCAGGACACGGAGTTTTCCCATATTATTGATTTATTGATATAATCCTATTACACCTGATTACTTGTAAATTATTGACCTATATTTTTATAAATACTAGGGTGAAAATAGCCTGTATTCATAGATTATCTACCAGTATTTTTCTCTGATGTATCGATCGATCCTCTAGAACGGTAGGTGTAGGAGGAAGGTTGAACACAAAGCTTTTAAAACAGGTCCTCTGATGTTAAAAAGATAGCGTGTTTATCTTTGAACAGTGTAAGAACTTACCGTCGCGGAAATTTTTCTTTCCTGATATATCTTTTCACCTCCATATGATAATTCAAATTAAATCATTACTAAAATGGCTTGCTGAGCCTTTTTTCTTCTATTAATTGGAATTATAATGCACGTTATTTAAACATGAGATGTTCAAGGTATTCTTGGATCACAGAAATCCAGAACGGTTTCAATGATGTATGATTATTTAACAAGTGTAAAAGGTTTTTATTTGTTTATAGACACTGATTCAAATGAAAAAGAATTGTTTAAAATTATTATTCATTTCAATGATAATTCTCCGATCCGCACTGTAGCAAAAAATATTTCTTATAGTGTTTATCATTATATCCAAAATTATCATACATTTAAAAATACTCCCGTAAGGTTGTACACAGATGCCTTTGCAAAATTTTATTATTTTTTTTTAATTTATCAATGGCAAGGGAAATATATGAATTTTATATATTTTACACGTTTTTAATTGAAAAAAAAATATAGCTAAATAGACGCCCCAGCTTTATACATAAAATGACCATGCATGCTGATCAAGAGATTGTTCAAATGATTACTTTTGCACCAAATATCATGAAAATTTGTTCATGATTGTAACGTCTCTATCTCAAAACGACCTCGTACTGAATTCAAGCTTCCAATAGAGCGGCGGACTTGGAAATGGCGTACACTGTGATGTCCTGTTTGTGTAGATCTAGATGGTCTGAAATTAAAAGTCAATAAAATGCCTAACACACAGGTAATTTGACTATCCCTATCACAGAACACATTGTATATTATTATTATTATATTCTCTTTTTTTGTATATTTTGTTTGATTTTTTTTTATTGCATGTGGTACTCCCTGGAAAAATCCCTATACACATCTACATGCACATGTGCTTACTTTATTTCTTTTGAAAAAAGTTAATGATTCTATTAAAAATCCCATAAATAAGAAATAATGCCCCGCATACTCCTATTTAGGACGAGAGCAAAAATTCTGTACTCTTATCCCTCTTACTGGACTTTTACAACAACACAGTTTTTAATTCAAGTTTTGAGAAGTATTATATAACAAACAGTCATCAAAGTAAGGGATACGTATTTATACCTAAAATAATTTAAGATTCGTTTTTATTCTACCAGATTGGATCGGGAAAAGGGGAAGGTGTACAAATTAGCTAGAAACATCCGTCCTATGTGTAGATATGTAGACACTAGACAATGTGCTAATTATATTTCAAAATGTTGTTTAAATCGTATATAAATACAAGTACATATTGTGCATTGCATATATAATTCAGTTATCAATATGTGTACATTCCGCGTTCTATGTACGTTTCTATATGCACGTATTTAATTTGTGCTTTTTCACTTTTTTGTTTAGACAATGCACTAATTATTTTTTTAAAAGAAATTTTGCTCGGAATTTATTTTAAATCTACAATTTTCAGTTAAATCTGATATGAAATATACATACTAGCCTGTACTTCATGGTGCTTTTTGCATATAAAATTCATAATTTGAAAAAGATGAAACAAAATGAAAAAAAAAATGTTTATGATGTTTTTGAAATATTGCATGAGATACATATAGTCTATTTATAGTCTCTATATAATCTATACAAACGCAAACAGTTCATAACACTACATATTCACTGATTTTGAAGCCATATTCACCGGAGGGTCGGTGCGCGTGCAGCAGCATTGTGACGTCACAATCAACACCTCAAACAACGTTTGCAACGGCCGGATTCAGCTGTGTATCTGAGCAGGAAAAACATTAGCCAAGCCTATCGCAGGATTATTTTCTAAACATTTCGATGTCTTACAAACAGCAAAAGTAAAACATGGAAGTTATAAATTGTAACCTGGACATTTTTTTTTTATTTTTCTACGACAGAAGTTCGTAAATGGAAGTGGTATCATCATGCAGCCTTCAATATCTTATTTATTCAAATCCAGACTCTATAATAAAACAATTATGGACTCTTTCGGTGGTGAGTATGGTTTGTTATTCACCAGAAAAATATCAATATTGACTTCGGCCTTGCCTCGGTCAATATTAATATTTTTCTGTTGAATAACAAACCATATTCACCACCGAAAGAGTCCATAATTGTATAGTACTGCATGGCAAATATATAATGATATACTTTGTTTACAATTTTTATGCATTTAATTCATAATGCATGTGTGTATGCCTGTACAAAGAGTGTGCATTAGATCTATTTTTAGAATACATAAATAAAATGACGTACATGCAGGAAAATTACGTCGCATAATTTTGTTTAACCCTTTCGACGCCAAAGCGACATAAATGTCGTTTACTGTATCAACGCCAAACCGACAAAAATGTCGTTTTTAATAAATGTTTTACTTTTTCTTTAATTAACCATATACCGTACGTGTCATTAAACACAATAATATCTTTATTTTGACACAAGTATAGGTCTTTATATTTACATAGGTACTGGTCTAAATGTGACGTCATATTTCTTACATTGACGTTAAATAATGACGTCAGCATTGGAGTACGCTAGCATTGTAAATAAAGTATGGCGCACTTTCCGTTAGCAAATTTTAAAATGTTTCATTGTTGCCAGAAAGCTTTACACTTATTTTCTCCGGTGATACATAGCCTACATGCATATATTTTTTTTTTCAGAGAAAGAGAGAGAGAGAGTTCTTTATATAATAAGTGGTTCTTTATTCTGAATAACACCTTATTAAATGTATTTAGCCATTTTATTCCCTAGTTAACCCTCTGGCTGCGGGAAGGACATATATGTCCTTTTACCGTTCGCTGCGGGAGGGACATATATGTCCCTGGCGACGTCATAAATGTTGCGTGATTTCTCTCTAATTTTATTGAGATTTTCTTTAGTATTATTAAATTTTCACAGCATTTTTTGATAAAAAGATTCAATAATTTAAAAGCATTTGCATTTAATGTAAGTTAAATAAGCCAGTAACACATTTATTTAATCCTTATATTATATGCACATGTATTTTTTTCCATGCATGTGATTAATTCTTAAATGCGCAATCAAAATACTTTTTCATACTATTATAACTGTGAAATGAGAAAATACGTTAACGTCTATTATAAAATATATTTCAAGTTATACTAATAAAATAGTTTTATAACATTCTTATACAGATCAAATGAAAAAAAAACACACCCACCCCCACATTCAGAGAGAAAATAGCGTTATCTTTTAGTGATATAATTTTCTTTTTTTAAAAATTACAAAATTTTATCATTTTTTCATTACTTTCGTTATTACTTAATCTGTCTGATAGTGGAAAACAAAAAAGAATTCTGCTTCCAAATTTGACTCTGATTTTGATTTGAATCCGAAAGCAAAGATGAAGTTTGCCTTTAATATAGATAAATGTAGGGTGTGTGAATGATTTTTATTATCCGCACACTATCAAACCATTTCCCCGATATACCCACACGTTTACCCACATTACGTCGAACCCCCTCCCCCGTCGAATTATCACATACCTGATCCTGTTATATTTTCTTGATATATTGATGTGCAGAGCAAGTTCTATCTTCGCAACACGACCCCAAACCCTATTCGAGGAACCATATATTGTCAGATACTAAACACAGTTTATTTTAGTACACTTTAAATTAAAAAAATCTTACAGGCATGAATCTCTGGCTTTTTAGGACACCTGCACAGCTTCGTATCCAAGATCCCGCAAATTCCAGGGGTGGGGTGGGGTGAGTTGGGGTCCCGGACCCCCCACCCCACCCATCCATCCGTGCATGCTGCATATTACTTTTATAAGGTGTTAAGACCAGAGGTAGGTTTCATATTCTCTCTTTGTTTCTCCATGGCAATGATATGGCAACATATATTAACCAGTACCTCGAGCGGGACCGCTGGGTATGACCCAACGCACACCTCCATTACTGAACTTTACATGTACAGTGTACATGTACATAAATCGTACATTTTCAAAGGATTACATTTAGCAAGAGATTTTATAAGTTCTGTATATACATGTACTGATAAAATATGGTTGGATTTAAAATGCTAGTAAGTTTTTTTTTTTGGCATGTAAAGACTTGGATTTTCTATAATTAACCATCTGAGCTTACATGAAATCTATAAATTATGAAGAATGAGAGCTACTTATTTTACTTCTTGTCGTGGTATCATGTTTAAAGACTTTACAAACACATGTAAATACATGAATGCACAAATACTCTGTTGTGGAATTATATGTAAAAGTCATCGAGCTCAAATATATATTAGATAATGTTGGCCTTTAAGAGTCGATGTGACATCGTACTGTAGTGTATGTGCCTGCCAAAAAGCCGCATAGAAAACTGTTTGAGCAGAATCTAAATGATACAAGAATCCTCTATTAACATTACCTCAAAAAAAAATTGAAGAAATCTTTAATGTCTTCGCTTTCCAAACCTAAGGAATTCATTTTCCCACCAAATCACTATTACAATTAACCCCGATTTTAAAGGAACACAGTCAGGATTGTTGAAAAAGGAAGAGTGAAAATAAATAGATAAGTACCAAATAAGTGTGTAATAATTTTGTAATCCCCTCGCTCTCCCGTTGTCAGTAAGCCACTGATATTTCACCCCCAAAAAATTCCACGTAGATTACAAATGCAACCAGCAGATATGTAAAAAGGGGGAGGGGGCACTGTTCGCATTTAATCGGATGAATAGTCGTGGGTGTTGTCTTCTCGTGTTCTAAATATAGGTGTTCATG